TTGTTGTTGTTGTTGTTGTTATTACTATTATTAAAAAGAAAGGCCGGTTGCCTCCTGAAAAAGCATCTTTGGGTTACCAATGGTAATTTAATTGAAATGACATAAAGATCACTTAATGATATCGATTTTTATAATACTGATAGTCCTCACGTTGCAACCATTTGTTCCACGACTGCTCAAAGTTACGAATGATGCTGAAGGAAAAAAAAATGTACAAGTGGTCTTCGATATTTGATTAAGACTTTCTGACAAGCAGTTTGGGACAATGAAGGAAAAGGGTTGGGAAGCTCTGTTCTAACGGAACACTCCCCCAGAACGTGGAAGGCTTCTGAAGCTGAGAAGTCAGATAGCTTTTACCTGTCCGGTCTTCATGTCCACCAGGTGCAATGTCCCTTCCACAGTACCCACGACGGCCAGTTTTCCCGAAGGAGCGAGAGAAGCAGAAGAAGGAGCGGAAGGAAGGTTCAAAACAAGGCTGTTAAATAAAAGAAAAGAGATCGATGAAGATTCTCAGTCATCCAGTTGAGTCATGGCAACTGCAGTTCTTTTGTCTTTTGGGTATGAAAGCTTTCGCTATTTATCCAAACAGCTTCTTCAGTCTGAGCAAATGTCTGTGGAGACTCTCAGTCACCCAGACCATAGTTGTTTCCAAGGTGCTTTTTCAAAAGGCAGCTGAATTTTTTTTTCCCTGAGGAAGAAGAAGAAGACATTTCACTTCTCATCCAAGAAGCTTCATTGATTCTGAAGCTTCTCGGAGGAGAACTGATGAAGCTTCTTGGATGAGAAGCAAAAGGTATTCTTCTTCCTCAGGGGAAAAAACAGTCCAGTTGCCTTTGGAAAAAGCACCTGGGAGTCGGTCTGAGCAAGTTGGTTAATGGGACCCCACATGCGCCCTCTGGGGTGGTTTAATTTCTCACCTAATCTGGATAAGCTTGCTAGGTGAGCAGGCAGAGAGTCATTGGGATGTAAATAACCAACCTGATAAGCTGAAGAAGCTACATGGATAAACAGCAAAAAGTTAGCTGTCCAAAAGAGATTGGACAGCCATTTGCTTGAAATGATATAATGTCTCCTGCCTGAGTGGGGGATCAAACTAGAACAGGGCTTTTCAACCTTTTCACCCATTGTACCACTTTTAGGATATGGCAACATCCGAGTACCACCAGTCGCCTAGCAAGGTGTCAAAAACTTGATGTCCAAAAAAAAAAAGGAAAAAAGTGATAAAGTACAGGTAGTCCTCGACTTACAACAGTTCGTTTAGTGACTGTTCAAAGTTACAATAGCACTGAAAAAAGTGCCCCCCAAGGCACAGCCGAGCAAGACACCTGCCTGCCCACCTGGAGGCGCTGTTCCTCCTGTCCGAGGTTTTCATTGTTGTGAGCATTTCTGTTGAGGATTGGCAGTGGGGGTGGGGTGGGGGGTGTTTGGTTTTTATTCCCCCCGTCTGCTGGATGGTTGCAGCAGATTTTGGTCACTTCACATGACCCTGGGACACTGTGACCGTCATAAATATGAATCAGTTGCCAAGTATCTGAAGGTAAATCACAAGACCCTGGAGAGGCTGCAACATTCCAGCTGATCGGCGCTTCTTCTGGGCTCAGCAGAAGCGCCAGGATCAGCGCCGAGCTCCAGCTGGAGCCTCGTGCTGATCCTGGCGCTTCCGCTGAGCCCTGACAGCCCTGCAGCTCCAGCCGTCTCTCGCTCAGGCTTGTGCGGTGCTGCCACCGGTTCAGCTCATTCCCCTCCCCTGCTACTTTTCTAGGATGCTCGCGTACCACCTGCCAGGTGCCAATGTACCACAGGTGGTACCCGTACCACTGGTTGAAAAGCCCTGGACTAGAAGACCTCCAAGATCCCTTCCAACTCTATTCTGATTGAATTATGCATGCAGCAATTATGCAATTATAACCGCAGTTATGCAGTTATTTTGTTCCGAACCAACAAGAAAAGACGTCCATTTGCCATGACTCAATGTGCAGATAAAAGGGGAGGGGGGAAAACAATAACATTGTGAGATGCATTGAGAAGAAAAAGGGCCTCATCCCTGCATTGTAGAATTACCTCTTGGTTTGCTGGGCCCTCTCTGGCTTGTTAATCCATTTCAGGAAAGGTTTCCCACATTTCTGGAGCATCGCCTGGGCTTGTGAGCAGAGGTCTGAGGAACTGGGCTCATTTGCTGCCTGTTGCAGGAGCAGTAGAGGATTCTGGGAAAGCAGCCTGAAGTTTCTTTGCAAAAAATCAGCGAACAAGTTGACTGCCTCACCGGGCTCTGAGCCAGCAGCTGTTGCTACAGAAAACAATGGATCATAGATTCATATTTTCAGTCGCTTTTAGCATACTTGTATTTCTACAGAACGGGCCCCAACCTCCAAATCAGAGATGTCCAACCTTGGCAACTTTAAGACTTGTGGACTTCAACTCCCAGAATTCCACAGCCGACATGGGGAATTCTGGGAGTTGAAGTCCCCAGGTCTTAAAAGTTGCCAAGATTGGACATCCCTGCCCAAAATGCAGTCTGCAATTTTTCCATCCCAGCTAAAAAGTTGCAGCCCTTTTCCAGGTCTGTGATTCCCCAATTAATTGGGGGGGGGAGAAAGAGAGACCCCCTATTTTCAATCCCACAATGGCTCACCATAGAGTGCATAGGCTTCAGAGAGGCTCCGGAGGAGGCCGAGATGAAGATGAGTGCTGACAACCTTTAAATCAGTCAGGAAAGAAGCCAGAATGTCCAAATGCCCACTCTGGACCTGCGGAAGAAGAATTATAATTCAAGAAGGCCACTCTTTAAAGCAGCTTTTCTCAACTTCGGCAACTTGGAAATTTGTAGACTTCAGCTCCCAGAATTCCCCAGTCAGGAAAAGAACCGGGAGATTGTGAGTTCTAGTCCCGCTTTGGGCACAAAGCCAACTGAATGATCTTGAGCCAGTCATTTTCTCTCAAGCCTAGGAAAGAAGCAATGGCAAAACACTTCCAAAAATCCTTGCCAAGAAAACTGCAGGGACTTGCAAGGGAGTCTCTAAGAATCAGACATGACTGAATAGAAGAAGAAAAAAATAAAGAACTCTGTATGTAAAAGAAACTGTTTTAAAATGGAAAATTCCCCCTAAAAGATACACTTCCAATTCCTTATATACACAGAATTTCTCTCTTTTTTTTTTTTTGCTCATTTTTCTCTATAACCATGAGGTCTAGGAACTTAAGTCTCCAAGGAGCTGTTTTTATTCAGACTAAGAGTTCATCTTCTCTAAGCTGCTGCTTAGAAGCATTCGAGTCACTTACCAAGTGGTATGGCAGGGCAGTTAGTGCCTCTGCCTCAGACTTCTGGAAGGTCCCGTAGCCATCTGGGTCTGTAAGTTTCCACCAGTGAGCTACACAGGAGAAAATATTAGGCAACTGCTCATTACTGCCCCCAACAGGTTGAATTTAAACATCGCCTCCCACTATGAAAAACACTGCTTCCCTCTAGAGGTTGGCTGGGGTGCTACAATGATCTGTTCAATTATGGCACAATTGAACGCAAGTACAGCTAGGTCTCGATAAGTACAGTTAACGAATCTCACCAAATGACCTCATTATTCTAACTTGCATTATCCAAAGTGATATTTCCAGAGAAAATGTGGAAATTGGTTGCAGCTCAATGGAAATGGACAATAAAAAAATGGTAAACATAAATTTTATATGTATATTTAATGAAGTACCACAGAAAAGGATAAAAAGAATATACTTTTAATTTACATTGATTGTTAACTGATTGTTAACAGGGTCGCAGAGTAATTAGAAAAAGCAAAATACAGGTATTCCTTGACTTACAATAGTTTAGCTTAATGACCACAGAGTTCACTTAATGACTATCGCAGAAAAGGTCGTAAAATCGGATCAAAGATGACCCACTTTACAACTGTCTTAACTTTATGACCCTCATTGCCAGGGAGTCATTAGGACTACCTGTAAAAGCAATAAAAATTCTATCGTATATTCAGGCATTTTAATATCTTTAGCATTGCTTTGGCACTGCTATGACCATGTTTATGTGTTTCAATTACATTAATTTTTTGTCCTAATGTAATAATGAGGCTATTCTTTTTAAAACTTCTACTGTTCTCTTCTGACAGACTCTTTCTTCTCTCCAAAGCACCTGAAGGCAGGACAAGAAACAATGGATGGAAACTAATAAAGGAGAGAAACAACCTAGAACTAAGGAGAAATTTCCTGACAGAACAACTAACCAGTAGAACGAATTGCCTCCAGAAGTTGTGGGTGTTCCAACATTGGAGATTTCTAAGATTGGACAACCATTTGTCTGATATGGTGTAGGGCAGTGGTGGCGAACCTATGGCACACGTGCCAGAGGCAGCACTCAGAGCCCTCTCTGTGGGCACATGCGCTGTTACCCAGCAGAGTTCGCCAGAGTAGCGAGCATGTGGTGTTTGGAAGCGACAGGGCAGGAAGTGAGCAAGCAAGCAGTGTTGCCCCCCCAGGGATGCCCCATTGTGGTGCCCTTGGGGGGGCAGATGCCTCCTGCGCCCCCAAGGGCACCACAATGCTGATGCGGCTCTGGCACTTTGCGATAAGTCGGTTTTGGGTTGAAGTGTGGGCACTCGGTCTCTAAAAGGTTCGCCATCACTGGTATAGGGTTTCCTGCTTGAGCAGGGGGTTGGACTAGAAGACCTCCAAGGTCCCTTCCAACTCCGATATTCTGTTATTCCTTTTGGCACAGTTGATTTGCAATGTCAAAGACCCTAACTGCAACTATGCATGTGTTAGCTTTAATTGCACATGCCCCAGCCTCAAATGTTGGGCTGCGTTAAACACAGCCAGGTATCAATTTACAATTTGCACTAAAATTAAATATCACACTATTTGAATTCCCATTAAAGACGGATATCTCCCTTGGTGACCTACCTTTTATTTAAACACCACCAACTATTAAGAAAAAAAAGTTGGAAGGAATTTACCTGCCAAGAACACATGAGCTGTATGCTCCAGTCCTGGTTTTTTCAAATAGCGCCGTTCTACTGCCATTCTCAAGGGGGTGCCACAGAGTTGCAGCCGAGAACCCGGAAGCTCTGACGGGGAACCGCATGCCCCAAGAAGACTATGGAGAAACAGCAGAGAGATGGATCCAATTTCCTAGTTACGTATATATCTGTACTCTGCTGCGCCTCTAGGTCAGTGTTTTTCAACCATGGCAACTTTAAAGATGTGTGGACTTCAACTCCCAGAATTCCCCAGGCAGCCTGCTGCTTAGGGAATTCTGGGAGTTGAAGTCCACACATCTTGAAGTTGCTAAGGTTGAGAAACATGGCTCTAGAGCAGTGGTTCTCAACCTTTTTAATGCCGCGACCCCAACCGGTCGTAAGTCAAGGACTAAACCGG